TTTATAATACAAATTTATAATACAAATTATTACTATATATGTGTGTATAATATAATAAATCATTGAATGTATTAATTTTAGAAATAACTTACTATTTTAAATTTATTTTTCTAAAAATATGTCTTTACATAGTAGAAAATGCTATGGTTGTTAATTCGATTAAATAAATTTTTTTTTTTATTCGATCAATTTTTCGAATGCGTAACAACAGCCGATATATTCATCCTATGTCATGAAAAACGTAAAAATACAATAATTAATAATTTAATAATTTTTAGAGTTAATTGTCTAAAAATTTCTCTAACAATTTATTATACGATATTAATAAAAAATATAATAATTGATATGGGACACTTTGAAATCTTACTATAATGGAACAAAAAAATTTATTAGACGTTATATACGCGTATTTTGTATCTTATTTATAATTTAAATATTTTATACTTAATGACTTAATAGATCGTTTGATAAATCTATTCTCGTTTTATCTGCGAAAATATTCATATCGTAGTAAACGTAGTATCGGTTATAGATTGATATGTTATGAATGAAAGATTTAATTTGTGCTTGTAGTGTTGTACATTTAGATGTCTCGTTGATCGTAATTGCTGTGAAATAATATAAATGGGTTGATAATGTTATTTCTTCGATCGTAACTTTGAACGAAACGATTATAAGATATGGAATTTGTTGGTATGCAACGTGTAAGAAGTCGAAAAAGAAGGAGACATTTAAAAAAGCAACGACGCGAACAAATAAAATTTGAGGTTAAGTCTGCAAAACGTTTGGGATTTATTTCAGAACGTTGTAATATTTTTATCTCTAAAGAAAAATTAATCACCGATACGATGCAAGCTAATTCCTTTTGGGAAAATTACACGGCTGCTCAAGAATGGCAAAAAAGGTTAGTTTATATATATGTTTATCAAAATATAAAGAATGATCAAAATTTCATCGGATTCGATTTAAGAAAGTGAAAAAAAGAAAAAAAATATTTCGATAAATAATATTAATTTTTAGACATAGTATAATTTGGTGGAAAACTCGATGTATTGCATTGGAACATGAAAATCAAATATTAAGAGATAAATTGAAATCTGTGATACGTGAAAAGGATCAACGGTATTCTCTGAATTATAAAAAAAAACATGATTATAAGCGTACGAATGTAGAAGAAGAATGCGAAGAAACAACATCGAGCGAAGAAAGTGGAAATATTGAATTTCATGTAAACGAAGAAATGATGAATTTCTTGGAGCAAAGCATGAGACATAAATTTGAATTGAAAAAGTTGAGAGAATCAGAAATATCTATTAAAAAAAAGAAAGAGGAAGAGGAGAATATGAATATTCAAGGTGGAGCAACATGGATGCATACAAGAAATAGTAATGCAAAATTGTTATATGGTGATGCGAGTTCTACAATATTAGCAATGGAAACTGCGCTTCAAGCTACGGTTGATAGACACAGGGATAAAGCGAAACCTCAATATTGGCCAATTATTCCTTTAAAACCATAATATATATATATATATATTTATATATGTATTTTATAAAAAAAAAAAA